TTTGAGACAGGGAGCAAACCATTGGAGGATTATGGTGAGGAGGCTGGTATGCCACCATTATGCCTCCTGTGCCGGTAGGCACAGTGTCTTCCCCTCCCTTCCTCTCAGAATGCTCCCTTTGCCTCTTCTTCAAGGTTACTCTCATGACCTTGGGGAAGCAGCCATTTTGGTTCTTTCCACAGAATGTGGGAGTGGGAACAGAAAGTGGATGCCCAGTTCTGAGCCTGGAGCTCTTTTCCAAGCTCAGAGCTGGGAATCCTAAGAATCCTCTGGACCCCTAGATACTTCCTGGTTTACTTGGTTGATCTTTTCCCAGCTAGTGTTAGATAACTGTCACTTTCCATTACATTGGCATAGTTAGGCATTTTAGGGCTAAACAGATCTCAGCAAAGGACAAAAAAAATTACTTTAGATGTGAGCCTAGGAGCTGCAACTTGTTTTCATTTTTAATGAAATTTGGATTGGGAACCTAGTGTGAGAATGTTTAAATTCTATGGAATCTGTGTCTATTCTAGAGTAAAAATAAAAAAGACATATTTGAAAAATGAGCAATGCCTACTTTGGCCTTTAGATGTTTGGTGGAATGGCTCTGTTCAAGAAAAGTAAATTGTATAAGTAAAGGCTAAATGTCATGTTACATTAAAGGTATTACTATCAGGTATGCACATGTATGAGTATATTACTGTTTGGAGGGTATCGCTTTTAGTGGGGCCCTGTAGTTGTGTGTGTCAGGGTGTGCTACCAATAAAATCAGGACTGGGGAAAATATTAAACTTCCCCTGTTAGAATCCTAATAAAAATCTCTAAGCTACGTCTTAAATATAGAATGTAGCTGAGCCCTTAATATTAATTCATTTCCACATTATTTTCAGAGGGGTGCAGAAAGAACTTACAATTTAGCCATCAGTGATCCCTTTTCCATTTTATGGGAATACACCATGCAATTTCTTTCCCCAAATTGGGAAATAGCTCAGAATATTCTCAGCCAAATCTGTGTTATACAGGAAACACTGTGACTCCAACCTGAAGAGGCGCATCACTCCTCTAACCTCCCAGACTTCCTCATGGACCTACAAAAACCCTTCCCTAATTACCTCGTGGCACCCATAACAAGGGAGGTAACAAGGGAGAAGGCCTTCTCAACAGTGGCCCCTCCAATTTTGGAATTATTTTCCTAACAAGTCCCTTGTGGCACCTATATTATCTTTTTAGCATGAAGTTAGGGGTTCATCTTTTCTCAGACATTTGGCAGCTTATGTCAAGATTTTTAATCAGGTCTGGAATTATTTTTTACAGATTGTTTGAAATTATTTTTAGATAGATGTGTGAGAGTGACATATGTATATATTTGTATGCATAAGGTTTTTGTAATGTATTACTAAGGTTATGATCTTTGTAAACCACCCTGAGAACCTCAACTACTGGGTGGTATGCAAATGTAATAAATGGAATGAAATGAAGCTATGGTGGCAGGGAAAGTAAGGAATTAGGAAGTGCAGTTTTTCCAGCACTCATGGCATTTCCCATGTCCTTGGCTGATTGTTCAGCCAGTGGCAGCACCATATACTGAAACGTGGGGAGCGGGGTGAGAAAGCCCTTCTCCATCATGCATTCACAGCTTCAGCAGCTACAAGATAACAGAAAGGGAAAGGAGTTTTGAAGGCTTATGGATGAAGTTAGGAAAAGGACTAGACTTGGGGCTTGATGAGGCCCTTTGCAACATAGGTTGGACACAATAATTTGAGCTAAGTGCTGGAAGGTTGAGAAGACAAAAGACCCTGTTCTCCATGCTTCTACCTCCCATTACTGAGCAAGGTTAAGAAGACAAGTGGGTCTCAGGTAGAAGTCAGAAATGCACACATTTGTGGAGAAAGGGGTGAGAGGGATGGTAGAATTACAAATATCTTCTACTGAAACTTAAGTCAGAAAGAATCCAGAGGTTACAAGGCTTGCCTTATCATGAGGCAACTATTTCAAGCCATAGCAGTGTGTGTCCCACTTCAAGGAATCATGATTTTCAACAACATACCTATCCATCTGTATTAGAAACATAGCAAGAGAAACACAGGATGGTTTTTTGGAGGGCAACTCTTTAGGCAACTCCTGCTTATCCTAAAGGAACTCCACACAACCAAGCCTTGAGTACTTCAGAAGAGCTGGCAATCTTGCAAGACCTTCAGGTATCCATTTCAACATTTTCTGTATTGAGAACGTAATGGCCTTTTCTTTTGCATATACCATTTTCTTTTCAGAAAGCAAAGATTCTTCCCAACATGCATGTAATTGGTTTTCTGACTCGGGGCCATGGGATCACCTGTACATTAGCAACTGAATGTCTTACCCATTTCAGCTGTTTTGTATGCACAGTGTGGTGAAATGAACATGGACATGCGTCTATGTCTTTATGTGGCTGATAAAACATAAATACTGTTGGTTAAATAACTACTATACACACTTATAAACCCCCACTTTTTTTTTTAATCTGATACAGAAACCGTCAATTTGGACATCAAAATATACATTAGTTATAAAATATTTAAAAACTTTATTTTTTATTTCAGTCTGGAAACAAACTACTATTGATAAAGTAATAATCAATTTTAGCAATATAGATTACAAAATAACCTACTAAAATTTTGTCTATTTTTGGTCTTATTGAACAGCAATTGCACTTGTGGCATTGCTGTCAATATCATTTTAAAAGAAAAAGCCAATATGACAATAAATTCAACTGACACATTTTTTCTTCTTCTCAGAGAATATAATATTCTTTAAATGATTGTTAAAAGAGGAACCTTTTCATGCTGCCAAACCATCAGAAGTATAGATAAAAATTTAAATATATAAAATATATGTGATCACATCAACTCTACGGCAATATGGATTTTTTAAATCTTATCCTACACAGTGCCTTCTGGAAGATACTTTAATGCACAGATCTCACCCTCATGTACAGCATATAAACCATCTTTCTCCTGTTAAACCAAGAGGTCATAATTCTTTGGTCATGACGTTTTAGTCTAGTAAGATGGGTGTGATGTCACAGAGGACTATGACCCAATTACAGGATCAACCAGGAATACGACAATGGTTACTTGAGAGAAATGTGCTCTACAGACCCAATCCAAAGGGTCAGACTTTCCAAGATGAAGTCAACCTTTCCTATTGACTTTTAGTGAGACGTTACACTAACTCATTTTAACTGGACACAGAATACAATATATTATAAAAGTAATGTGAACATTGCAAACAGATTGTTGTTACTTTTATTTTCAGGGACCCAAGACAAATGAGGATGGAAATTTGGCTGTCTTACCACCATGTCAACCTGCTAAATGGATAGAGAATAAATGAATCATGTGTTGTACAGTCCTTAGTCACAGTGAACCCTGGTCTCTGCAAATCATCTGAATAGAAGAAGGAAGGGCTCTCCATTGATGATAGCCTTTCTTGCAGCAAATTTAATTTACATGTTCAACCAGCCAAGCTGGTCAGCACTGCTCAAGACATTCATCTGGATCCAGAAGGGTCATCTGTGGGACGAAAGCTATTAGTCTGCACAGGTCCCCCTTGCATGCCTGGCTATTTGAAGGTGTATCAGCTAAGGCTTTAAACATACCTATATTCAAAGACATAGGTCAACATATACCATTAGTGCACCTCTCATGGATTACTCAACTAAAGGTGCAGTCCAATCCTGCCCCCCATCCTCAATGCACAGAAGCCTCTGAACTTGGGGCCTTATGTGTGTCCGATGCACAGAGCAAGTTGTGGCAGTGGTGATCTTTGCAGCTGCTATACTTTTTGCCCAGCATTTTATCTCAATGGCTGCTTTGGGCCATCTAGATGAAGCATTACTGAGGGGGAGGAAGGTGGCTGGGGTGCCATCTGGATATGGCATAAGCCATTGGCTCTCGCTTCTTCCCTGCTGCCCCACCTGTGTGCCCCCCTTTTTTTTCCTGAGGCTGATCTGTGACCTCAGAGAGGCAGGTGGCATGAATCTTTCCATGCAGAAGATGTGGAAGAACCGAGATCTAGGGCTCCCAAAAATCCTACGGTCCTCCAGAAGATACTTTTTTATATCAGAAAGCCATGGGATTTTAAGAACTCAGCAGAGTCGTCAGCTTTGATAACCCACCTGGGAGGATAAGGTTACTTAACATTCACCTTCTCCCTTCCATCAGTAAAGGATGTTGAGTGCTGGATGTCAGGAAAGATCCTAGCATAGCGTCTTTGCACAGGATCAGGGCCCTGTCAAGTCATTCCTCAAGGACTGCTAGTCCATCTCCGTGTGAATGAGGCTGATACACTCAGTTGTGCTGCACTTGTTTTGAATGTACTAATACATTTTATAATAGCAAATATACTTTTTTAAAAAGATAAAGAATGACACTTTGCTAAGCTAATCTGGACAGCCAAGTGAATACTGTTTACTGCATTGTCTGCGGCTCTATCCATCTTCTGCCAAAAACACTTCGTAGAAAATCTTTCTAATAAATGATGAGTGTTTACTCAGACTTCAGCCCTAGCACCAATTGGGTTTGAACATTTACTGTTAAACCAAAAATGTACAACCACATGCTTTCGTAAGGACACTAAATTTAGGCAGGTGAGATAACTGTAATTTACCCTAAGCCCCCCTCCACACAAAAACATAAAAGTAGCACATAGAAAACAGTTAAAACAACATATGAGTAAAATTCTCCATCCGTGTTTGCATTATATTTTATGTGTATTCTCAAGTTTTTTTTAAGAGATTGGCAAAATATTTACACTTTACTATTTTTTCTGGATCCAAAAGAATCCTCGAAACTGTGCATGCCTTTCTTCAATGGGAGACAATGATTTTTCTTTTGATTGACAGGTAGGTACCACTTTAGTAAGCATTGTGCCTAGGTAGTTCTTCACCTGAATTTAGGCTCTGGATACTGCCTTATCAGGAAGGTAGGCTGACAGTGCACATTTCAGCAACATGTGGAGGATAATCCCCCATGTTCGTATCATATTGCAGTATCCCAGAAAACAGTTTGCTGCTTGGAATATGGAGGGGGACTGTACTTCTTGGTCCCTGTGTTCTTCTTCCAACTTGGCAGAATAGGCATGCTGTCCTGTTTGCAAAGTCCTTTCTCTGATTTCTGTCGTGCCTTGATTTCCTTACACAGGCAACGCTTTTTCTCAATCATTTCCAGCATTGTATGGTCTCCATGCAACCACTGCATACATGTCACCTATTAAGAAAGGCACAGTCATTTAACCAGAGATGAAATATGGCACTGGTCACTTGAGAAGAGAAACAGGAAGCAAGACAAGGAAGCAAAGCCAGTACACCACTTAAAACAATGAAGGACAAAACACAAAAGTAACTCAACAGGATGTACTATGGAATATCTTTAATTTTCATTCAGAATACCAATGGGTAGGTGCAATTACTGTGTTTCAGATAAAACCTGAAGAATAACTGAGATTATCCTTGCCCAAGTTGGGCCCTTTTCAGATTATTCAACAATAGTATCCATCATCCTTAGCCACTGGCCATGGTGCTGTGACTGATGGAAATTGTAGTCAAAACCCTAGATTGGAAAAGATAGATCAGGCCAACATAACACACCCTAAACTTGCAAGCATGGAAGACTGCAGGGAATCACCTGTTTCAACAGTTTCTTGTTAGAAACAAAATCCCTACACATTTAAAAATTAGCATATTGAATGGTTAGGATTATTATTTCGTAGTGTATAAACTTTGAAAATATAAGATTTCTACTGCTTCAGTTTCTTAAAACTAATGAACTGAAACTTACCTTTCATCATACAGTTAGCTTCACTGTTCTCAAATGGAAATTCTGAATATAGCACCAAGTCAGTGCCTGCTGTATCAGGAAGATAACTCTAATATCAGAGTGCTTTAGCATCCAGAATTTGTCTGTCAGTTGTCTTCTGATTTCACAGTTGCCCTTCTCTCTTTCACAAGGAACAAAAGATTTCAATATTTTCCTCTAGAGCAGGGGTCTCAAACTTGTAGCCCGCGGGCCAATTGCCGGGACGGGCGGAGCACGGAGAAGGGGCCCTGTGGCCTTCAAAGCGCCAGCGGCGCCCAGGCCAGCCTCCAGGAGTGACGTGGGATGAGTGGCCCACCACCACCATGGTGGTGGAATTCTTGATGTGGCCCAGCCTCTACTTCCAGCGGCCACCAGGTAAGTTGAGTTTGAGACCCCTGCTCTAGAGAGTGTTTGCTTTCAGCTCCTTCATTCTTCTCTTCATTGGGCACTAATCTACCTAGGAAAACATCTGCCTGATTTAGTTGGTGACCTACAGACCAAATGAACAATTCTGCCATAGAGGGATCTGCCCTTCCTTCTCCTCCTACAAAAGCTGACCCTGATCTTCCTCCATCTCCATTATTTGAGTGACTTGTGTAAGTCATTTGTTGTTGATGGTGGTGATAGCAACACATGCTACATAAGTCCTCTAAATTTGTGAATTTGAAGGTAAGATACAGTCAGGGAAAATAAGATACAGAACCAATCCTATAAGATGTCTATTAGGCAGGGGGTTTTCATTCAAGTATTCGATTACATTTCAAAACCTACTTGGGTCCTTTGTTGTTGTTGTCATGTGCTATCGAGTTATCTCTGACTCCTGAAGATGATTCAACCACCACTTCAACATGGTGGTGTTGTTAGGGTTGTGAGTGTCAGATAAGCTTAGAGCAATGCTACCAGAAGGCCAAACTATCTCACTAGGCTGGTCACCCAAGGTGGAATGGTCAAAGTGAAGATGTATCCCAAGCCATTTTCAGGGGTGCAAGTTTACTTTGCAAACTACACATATTAATGGTGATATAAATATTTCCATTATCTTGCATAGGAGGAGGTGAAAAAAGCCTGAATCCCTGAAAATCCCTTTCTGAGGATCCCTGGGGAAACAGGGGCTTTGTTAAGAGATCAGTGTCTCTCTCCCAGCCATTTTTGAGGATGCAGAGTTTTTCCTGCCTTAGCTAAACTTGATAGTCTTCATTTCTTGGCATGGGACAGAATGAATTTGCATCCACAAAAATAGCTGATGGGAAGTCTGCCTCCTGTCAAGGAGCTGTGGGACTGCTGGGCTCTTGCTGTTGCTGTGTGCATGGAGGTCCTCTCCTCATTTTCAGATGTTTATGCTTTCTTTTCTCCCGTGAAAGCTAATACAGACATTGCTATCTCCATTATTTTTATGAAGGGGGAATAGAACTTTGCAAACTCCTTTCCCAAACTTTCTGGTGAAGCAGAGATTCTTGTGGCAACGGCAGCTTGACTACGCACTTTGTCCTTCACTTTCAACATTAGCCCCAACTACTCTGGAAGCACAAATATTGGGCCAGCTGTGAAACCTCTGAAGCAGTCTGAAGGTTTGGGACTGGCTCATTTCACTTCAGAACACTTTGAGGAATACCTGCTTTACCTTCTGAGAGGTTTGTATACCCCCAAACAGGGCTGTTTCAGATCAGTATCCAGGCTTTGTCCAAAGCAGACGTATTCGTATATCCCTAATAGCTGCACACACAAAATAAAAGATGATTCTGGACTGTTCACTGACCACAGTATACCATTGCAGGGGTACCAGATGGACAACATCAGTAGCCACAGTCCTTGGTTATGTAGCTACAAGTGATTGAGGGCATATTAAATGCAATAATACTGATCAGAGTGATGGCATAGCACTATCCCCAACCTAATATCCTCCAGATGTGCTGGACTGCAAATCCCATAAAGGCCATGCTGGCTGAGAATGATTGGAAGTGCATTCTAAGACATCTGGAAGTTACCAGGTTGGACCAGACTGCTACAGCCTCAGACATGTGAGTTTTGTCAACATAGTGAAATATGACAGTCTTGCAGGGACAAGAATCATGATCAACCTGCTTGGCACTGTGTTTCATCTGAATCACACAACTAGGCATAGATTCCATTGCATAGGCTGAACTAAGGATTGGCTTCATGATGCATGAAAGCCTAAGGAAGTGAAATTAAGTTCCTCACTGGTCAAATATTTTAAATACTGCTCCTGTGTGTGAAGCACTACATATTTTCTACAGGGACCCTTTTAAAACTGAGAATAATATTGAGAAATTAGCATGGTATTAATATGTAATCTTGGTTAGAAATGCTGAAACTGATACGCATTGAAACCAAATGCTGAAATGATATGCATTGAAAGACAAATGCATTGAAAGACAAATATTTTCTATACAGATGCAAGCATGCAAAAAGTGGTATTGAAATTTAACTGCAGCCCTATGCACACTTATCTGGGAGTATTTCCAGTTGAAGGGCTTTACTCCTGAGTAGACACATATTGGAGTATACTATTATGTGCTTAATTATCATTCATTTATTTTTTTTAAAAAAGCCACTTTATCATTTATATCCTTGATTTCAAGGATTGAAATGATTTTAAAAGCAACTTACATTAATGCAAAACTAAACAAGCACTCTCCAATGAATGACCAAAGGTGTATAATCCATATGGTGGAGCCAAATGACCTTTAAATTATCCATTTATATGACAGTAATTGGATTACATGGGTTTTCCTCCCATTGTGAGCTAATACTTATGCAAAATTAAAAGTTTTATGTATACCGAATAAAGCTAATGGGTTAAAGTATAGATGGCCTTAAATGTTTGCATTGGACATGTAAATATTGATGTTCTTATTTCTATAGCAATAATGGAATGGGTTAATAATTGAATTGAATTTGTAAAAATTGAATTAATAATAATTAATGGGATTGCTGCAGGCATAGAGGGAAAAATTAACCCTACAAATGAAACATTGCAGCTTTTCCTCATAATTGTAGTAGCAGAGAAAAAAGGTAAATTCTCCCTGCACACAAACTTCTCTCATCCTATTAATTATCAACTTCTCCCAGAGGCCACCTTTTAAAAATCTGCAAAGATTCCGTTGGATACCAGCAGTGTTTTTATGATCAACTAACTATCTCACAACCTTACGGAATTAGATATGTAGTCCAATTCTATGGATGTTTTTTCAGTCCCATTCAGTCCCACTGAATTTAGTGAATTATTTTCAAGTAAATTTACCTAAGATTGCAATCTGAGTGCCTGGCTCAGTCAGCTGACACACCCAGATACTGGTGTTCCTTTAATGGAAAAACTACATAAATACTTATCTCTTATGTATGGAACCTGAATGATTAGGAGTAAGTATTACAATTAAGAGTTATCAAGTATGTCTATTGTTCAAGCTTCCCTAAAATAAGAGAATAAGAGAATAATAAAATGCCTATTATTTCATACTTATTTCAGAGTAATTGTCTGCATTAACACTTTGTATGTTAAGGAAAATCTTGTAAAGATTGGAATGCACATAATCAAATATTCTGGCGCTCAGAAGAAGGGGAATTTGATAATTTGTGACTTCTCTTACTATTTGTTATAGTAATATTACAATTTGAGGAAGGATTACAAAATTTTACTTTTAAAGAGGAAATAATGCTGTTAATTCTTGGAAAGAAAAAAATAGTAAGTTAGTACAAGCTTTTAAAATTGTCATACACTAAAATAGAAACTAATTAAAGGCTTTAAAGATTGACTAATGAGATTGTGTCTTAATAAATTGATAGATTCATTCATCAATTAAAATAATTTGCTTACTATCTTGAAAGGAACTGATGAGGTTTATGATTACTAAATAATAATTGCTGGCCGTCTGAAAATTAAATGAAATGCATTTCCTCAATCAAGAGATTTTCAAAGTGTGCCTTCAACAATGCTACCAGCACTTCTGGAGGGCACATCTCACATATAACTCAATCATTCCAATCTATATTTAATCAGTTAGGTCCATTGATAGCTAATTCAGTTGTTCACTTCCTAATCAGACATGTATTTCTGATTAGTTTCAATGAAACTCTGCTCACATTGGAGTTAATAATGCCAACATTTCAAAATGTAATTCTTCTGTATTGCCTTTCAGCACCGAAATTACTGAAAATGAACCACAAAAAACAAAACAAAATGATTTAAACATAAATTCCATAAACAGTTACACAAATACAACTGAAAAAATATGGAAACACCTGTAAACCATATTAAAGAAAATGCTTTTTCTCAAAGGAAAAAGTGGACGATTGAAACTATTAAAAATTATGGGGGTAGATCTCCAAAAATAACATGAAAATCCTGCTTGTGACAAATGATTTTTTCTTCTAATTCTATTTTATAATGAGTTTAGTGCCCCATGTAAAAAATATGCATAAGCCAATAGGCCATTCTCCTGCACAAGACCCACTAGACTGAATAGGAACTTGTCCTAGTATGTTGTTTTGCAGTTCAAATTCATTGCAGTGGGTCTTGAGAAAGGGAAACATCTTCCTCATATTATCCCATAGACAAATTCCACACAAATATGTTCCCATTTCCCTCTGTTTATGAGAATTCCTTAATTTTAGTTCCACCTTGCAATGGATACGATCATGCTGTAGTTTCTAGCTGCAAAGTTTTCTTGATTTTACTATATTACTTTCATGGCAGAAATCACATGAATGGTATACCAGCCTTCCTCCAAGCTAGTGCCCCCAGAGATTTGGACTAGAGTATAGTTGGTTGTGGGATGCTGTGATTTTTAGTCCATCATCTCTGGAGGCCATCAGGTTGAAGAAAACTGTCTATTATTGAACTTTTCAATCAACTCAGTCAGTGTTCTTCAATTTTTTTCTAACTGCCTTGCCTACCTTGGCATCTTCCACATGTGTTGCTGGATAGCATCTTTCATTATACGTGGCCTGAATGGATACTGCTTGCAGTGGCTGGGTGTTGTAGTCCACCACTTTTGAATGGCACCTAGTCGGGATGGCTGGTTTATACTGGCAGATTGCATAGCAAACTGATATTATAGCAATAGCTCCTTTTGATTTGTATTTCATTTGTTTGATTTGCAATTGCAAGGTATTTTTTCTTTGTTAATATGGTAGCATTTGAAGCTGTGGGTGCTTAGACATGCCCATAGTTCAGAAGGTGTTTCCATAGTTTTCTCCAGTATAGTATCATCACACTTACTTTACTGTAATTGTGTACGCTACTAGGCTGTGGAAGTGCTTGTTCTCTCCTGGTTCTTGTGGGTTTCTTCCCTCTCTTATTGGGGGTGCAGTGGGGATGAGTCTACATTTGTAAGCAGTATGGGGGAAACCAAATAAAATAATATTGGTGTGATCATGGATCTTATTATGCATCAGAGTAAAGCTCTCCACACAGGAAGAAATGCACAAACCAATATCTAATGTAAAAGTACACAGAAGGAAGTTTAAATTAAATCAATACCAAACAAATAGAGGGAGCCTTATAAAAAGTTCTGTGAACATTGTGGTTGTTCTATAGAGCAGAATATTCCAGGAACTATCACTAAGCAAAAAGGAAAACCTTGTTAAAGGATCACTTACCATCGGTATAATTAAGGAAAAGCATGGGCACCATAATTTTACCTGTCCACTCTGATTGACCAGTTATATCACTGAAGTCTCCTTATTCTTGGTGTCAGTGTCTGCTGAATTTATTTTCCTTTCATCTTGAAGAGATAATAATTCCTTGATAGGAACTTATGTTTATTCAAACATGGGAGGTCTCCACTATTTTTGTAGTAAAACTTTTCAAACTATCTACAAGGTTTTGAAGCAAGAGACCTTACAAGTTTAAAATTATGATGGGTTCTATCCTTTTTTTCAATCACTCTCTTCACTATAGGCCTGATAAAATCATTGGACATGAAATAGAAGAGTCCATCATAAATACACTTATTCTTTAGGATGCTGTGCAAACCTGCAAACATTCATTTCTACTCAAATTAATTCCAAGGATTTGGAGAGGCCAGCACCCACAAACATCCAGTAATAATAAATGTTGATCTGAATATAAAGAAAATAAAATGATGATTAAAGAATAGTACTATATCAAAAGGCAGAGTAAACATAACACCCATAAGGACAATATGTTATAAGTCAACATTCTTAAACAGAGGAAAGTAACTTGAGTACTTTAGATTTTTTGGCCTTAATTTCCAATCAGCCCAGGCCAGGATAACCAATGCTCTGGAGGACTGCATATTGTCTATCCCTGTTCTAAAACATCTGATGAATCACATCATCATGAGTAAATGTCAGCCTTGGTGAAGAACACCAATGATCCATTTTACCATGTCACTACTAGATTGTATTATTACTTGAGATCAATTTGCAATGGGTGTGCCTGCTATCCAAATATGTTGTGGTGGCTCATGAGATCTATAGATCCAGCAATATTTTGCCCTGAAAATTAGAATTATGAATGAATGACCACTCAAAAATGTCCATATTTGTGGGCAGAGAGATTGGGGTGGTCAATTTTGCTGAATTTTTTTGGGTTGCAGAATTATCAACAGTTTCTCACAGGTAAGATGCTTTGCTGGAAGATCCAGCTTCTTCTGCTGCTTGTTTTTTTTTTTTTTTACGACGCTCTTTGTATGTATGCTGCTACTGCAAGTGGCAACAGAATCAACTGTGTTGCCCAGCTGGTCCCCATTTTGCACAAAGAGAGTGAAGAATTTTGAGCCCTACCTGTGACAAACCATTGAGAATTTTGCACCACCTGGGAAAATTAAGTGAAATTATCCCTCAAATAGAACCATCTGGAAAAGCAGAGGAAAATTTCAAGAGGTGATTTCTGTTGTACACCAATACTGGTATAGCATAGTTTCAGCACTCGCTTATGGCAATGAAATGATAATAGTGCTAGTCGGAGTGTACTGTCGGATCTTTCCCAATAAAATGAGTGGGAAAGATTAGTTATAGCTAAGTAAAGTCCCATTGATTCCAATGGGCCCAAAGAATAACTAACTTAGCTTGTATCTATCCCAACCACTGTATGAGGCAGCTTTATGCTGAAGGTTTTTTATTTTTTAATTTTTGCTGGTCTCATAATGATCCTGGAGAAATATACAACACATGTTCATAAAATGGATTTGCAAATATCAAGTGAGCTCCTTTCCTTGGTCTGTAGAACTAATTGAGCAAAACCCAATACCACATCATCTACACTGAACAACTGGCCTTTGAAGAGAGAAACTGAACATTGCATTTGTTACTATCATATTGTGGGAAAGAACATAATGATTCAGTGTCATGTCAAAGGCAACAAAAATTGCCAGGGAGATACATATTTTTATGACCAGGGACTCAGTGCAGATTATTCAAGGAAAGAATCATGATATGTTTGGAAATTTGATATGACATACATTGTTAAATAAAAAAAATGCTGAAGTAATTTGGATGACACAGCAACAGATTGTTTCCTGTTCGAAGGCCTAAGGAAGCCATCCCATGGTCAGTTCACCCCTGGAAGCCTCTAATTGAGAACAGCAATGGAAAGGTCCACTGCTATTCCCTTACTGTCATTTGTCCGACGGCAACAATAGCAAAAGGCCATTCTTCCAGTATTTTACTTAATTGTTACTGTATTTCTATTGGCTGTGGATGGGGAGAGGTTCATACAGAATTTTCTGCCTCGTGTACAAAAAAATTTGTCTGTAGCCCTTGACTTGGGCGGGCAGGTAGGCAGGTGCGGCACCACTTGTTGCTCAGCCACAGGCAGCAAAATATCCTGGGCCAGCCTTGATAATATAGAATAGTCCTTCAAAAGTCCTGTCAGCATCCTGTCTGTTGGCCATGTTCAGGCTTACTGACGAATCCTATGCTGAAACAGAATGTATTATTAGACCAAAAGGAAAGATTCTCTTCCCCTGCTACTTCCAGTTAAAAATCCATGACACAGGCATGAGTCAGTGAGCTCAGGCAGCCCAAGTCAAGGACAAGGTAAGTTGCTGCTAGTAAGTACCCTCTTGCACAAGGAAGAAAATGGGAGTATTTACACCTTCTGTCAGGACAAAATATAAGGAGATAATTACAGGAATTTGGGGTTCTCCAAGTTATGCTGTCAAGGGACTTATGCTATAGGGGGGAAACTAAACAAGGATCTGGAAGTTATCTTCTCAGATTTCCTGACATGGAAATAATGCTCTATTCGAATCATTCTTACTTAGTGTGCTCAAACAGCCAGTGGAAACCTACAGGCAGAAGTCAGCATGGGACATTAATGCGATTGTAAAAATTAGTTCCTCTGGCTCATAATAAAACAATTGTGTTCTGTGTTGTTGGCTAATAACATAGGAGAACAGCTTCCTGTGGGGCAGGATCATATACATACTCATGTGGACATCCCCACTATGCCTGCAGTATGTAATAAAAGCCATTTGCTTGTGCATTTTCAGGAGCTCAAACAAAAAATGTACAATAAAGTCTTGCTCAGTCTCTATTGAAGATTGTTCTTTGTTTGTAGTTGGATGCATTTTGCTAGAGATTAGGAATGAAACAGAATTTCCATAGTTTCAAAAAGTCCAGAATGAGTTACACAGAGAGAGAGAGAGAGAGTAATTGAAGCAGTCTTTCCCTATTCTATACTGAGTCACTTCCAAATATCTTATAGCACTTCATCAAGTTTAATATACAGGTAGTAGTCCAACTTCTATCCAGTACAGAATTGGCACAATGACTGTGTCCTTTCACACACACTTCAGCATTCAAGGCTTAATCAAATTGACTGTTAATCAAAAATAAATCTCATTTACTTGATAGGGAATTGAATCAGGTGTACAAAGCCTGAACACTAAATCCCTGCTAGTGGAACATGTCCTCATCACATTTTCATACAACCGATCCCTCTAAGCCAGATATCGCATAAGCTACAAGGTAAAATTTATTTCTGCAACCTGGAAAAAGACGTTCAAGCACAAAGATGGAGATCATTTTGCCAGTCAGAAATACTTTTTGAAGAATCCACCACTTCTTTTTGTGAAGGTTTGTCCTCCTTCCAGCAAGAAAATACACAAGGCTGCAATAATTTATTGCACAGTTAGATCAATCCAGCTGGACAAAATCTCCAAAGATAAATAATGTAATTAACATTAATTGAATAGAAGTTATTACCCTTAAAAAGTAAATATGCCTTATGTTAGCACAGACAGTTCCTAATAGAGGCTGTAATCCAGCAAAGCACTTATGTGCCCAATGTAAAGTCTGGTGTTACCGATCATCTGGATGTCCAGTAAGAAGAGGATGGAGAATGGCCAAGCTTTCATCTGAATCCTCTTTGTGGCAAGTATCCAGTTTTGGGAATACGATGTTAAAAAGTAGGGCCGTGGAGCCTAGCCTGAGCCAAATGTTTCTATGGAAACATTATATGAGCTGGAGGGCAACAGCTAGTTTCCATGTATTATTTACTTAACTGGGGACTGTGAAAGTGGACATGTTGAGAACTGTAACAAATTTCTTCATTTTAAATGCATCTTTACTGTGTGAATATGAGCAACGGTCTTGGTATAGTTCACCAAAATGCTCAGCAGTGACAATCACTCCAAAGTGGACTTTGGAATGATGAGATTTTTGAAATGTGATTAGATTTCATTTGGCTCCTAATTTGTGAACCACCTGACTGCTGGCAGGTTTTTATTTTTTCACTTAAATGATTGGTGTCGGGTTACTGTGGAGATACTGTTAGGGGCATGAACAGTATTCTTGAGAGATGTGGGTTCAAGCCTTACTGGCCCGTTTCCCTTCCTGTTGTGAAATCAAGGCTATTAGCAGACTTACAGGGCTAAAGAAAGGCAATTCAAGTAAGTGCTACTTTATCACACCTTTTTGAATGTTAACCCATCAGTAATAATGTGTTATTAATTAACATCAGCCAATTTTTTTAAAGCAAAGTAAAGTATAAAGTATTTTTTTAAAGTATAAGACTATATACTTCAATTATTCAAGTCTAAGTGTATGCAGTTAAAGTCTGCTCTTACTGGCTGATGATGTACTGTGATATATTTTCTTGAGTCTGTTCTGATGATCTGAAATATGCATCAGTGCATGTAGCTCATGGTGGCTGTTTATGAGCCTTACAAAAGAAATGAAGAATTTACCCATGGTGCTGCAGCTGTACTTATTTGGTGGAATCATGATTATTTACAGGAACAGTTCTTAGAGCAACATCCCTTGCTGCTTAAGTAATCAACTAGCTGAGCAAAGACCGCAAAATACTCTGGCCTGGGAATAGAGCTTGCGATTCTTTCTGTGATACTTCAGGCT